AGACAGGGTTTCTCTGTGTAGCTTTGGGCCTTTCCTGGAACTCGCTTTGGAGACCAGGCTGGCCTCGAACTCACAGAGATCCACCTGCCTCTGCCTCCCGAGTGCTGGGATTAAAGGCGTGTGCCACCACCGCCCGGCAGGAGTAATTTCTTTAGTGGAGGAAATTTCAGGACTATTTAGTGTTGAGTTTGCGCTTCTGCAAGTGTACAGTGAAAAGAGCAATGGGCAGAAGGAAGTAGAAATGTGCCCCTTGAAGAGAAAGAGAGCACTGGGAAGCTCAATGTTTTTTAGTCAATTACATCAGTACTGACCTGACTACAAGTAGAGTTCTGAACATAGTAAAGAATTTGATCCTTTCTGGGGTGACTGACCATTAACATGCATGTATTAATTATCCTTAACAATTTGCAATGTTAGAAATTTTTATAAGATTACAATTTGCAGCTTTATCTCTATTAAGTCTGGGTCTTAAAAAAATAACAGTTATTGAACTGAGGCTCTTAGTATCGAAATCAAACTTTAAATAATTAGTACAGTCCACAGGGAGTCTGGCGACTTTACCCTGCTGGTCCTTTCATAGTGCACCATTGCAGAATGTAACAGTTGCTTACATGATGCAGTGATCGAAATAGCTAAAGCTTAACAAAGTTAGCAAAGAGAAGGAGGCTCTGTGTACATTCTTCAGCCTGAATAGACCTCAGGTAAGGAGAGACGGTCTCTAAGCCAGTGGTTCCCAACCTCCCAAATGCTGTGACCCTTCAACATAGTTCCCATGTTGTGCTGACCCCCAACCATAAAATTATTTCATTACTACTTCATAACTGTAATTTTGCCACTGTTATGAATTGTAATGGGAACATCCAATGTGCAGATGGCCCTAGGCTACCCCTGTGGAAGGGTCTTTCAGCCCCCGGAAAGTCATGACCCATCGTTGAGAACCACTGCTTCAAACACTTGCCAGTCTGCTCTTTGTCCTGCCACATCGTAAGATAGGAATATACCAGGTGCTTGTGTTCATGTTTGGCACACACAGCTGTGGCCCTAACTCTTTAGCCGTTTATATATGTATGTATATATGTATTTGTTTATTTTTTAAGATCACATGTTAATAATATAAAACATTTTCTAAACTTAAAAGTCCCAAACCTTATACATTTGAACATTTTCAAAGCTCTTCTTTAAAAAAATATCCAGGTTATTTTTTTCTTAATTTTTTTTCTGTTAAACTACACAGTTTCCTCTTAAGAAAGTTTAAAATCTTTCAACTGTGTGTTCTTGTAATATCAAAAAATAAAGTACCTTTTCTACTTCAAGATACAGGGCACAAACATAATCTGCATAAAATAAATCCAAGCTCTAAAAATGCAAACAGTTCAATGCTCAACATCTGGGTTTCATTCATAATCCCCTGGGTTTTTCCAAGGGGCTTGGGTCTCCTCTCTGACCCCATTCTCAGCAGCATATAGATAGCCTGCCTTCTAGGTCCCAGCCGGCTCCATTCCATTGTGCCTGGTGTTTCTGGTGACTATCACATGATACTGGCATCTCCAAAACTGCCAGAGTCCTTCTCCTGGGCTCTCTTTAGGACAAGCCTCAGCTGTTCTCCGTGACTCCTCCATGTCTTTAAAATGAACACCACCTGGGTGACTCTTATTGTTGGTTTTAAACTCAGCGCTTTTACCATTCGAGAAAGGTCAGAGGCACTACAAAACCTCTGTATCCGAGTTTTATTGGTGGGGGAATAGAAGAGAGTGGCCATGCCTGGGGCAGAGACACGAGCAGGGGGGTGCGGTGCAGAGTGGGAGGGGAAGAGAGCAGAAGAGAGGAGAGCAGTCTGTGACCGGCTTTTTAAGGATTCCCCTGCACATGTGCACGTGGGCTTACGGAGCTACGCATGTGCTGATTGTGTGACCACGCCATACACATCACATAATCATGCAACACACTGACAGCGTGAGACCCTTTGCTTAGCTACTGAACTAACTGTGCATGTGCGGTCATATAGCCGGAGCGGCAGAATCCTAACATTCCAGCATCTTGCTTATTATAAAAAAGTGGGTGAACAGGAAGAGGGGCATTGATTCTCCTGGAAAAAACTGCTTCCAGCTGACTTGGTGGGTGTCAGTTGATTCTTGGGGGGAAACAACCTAGATGCCCTTCAACTGAAGAATGGATAAAGAAAATGTGGTACATATACACAATGAAGTACTACTCAGTAGAGAAAAACAATGACAGCATGAGGTTTGCAGGCAAATGGATGGAGCTAGAAAAAATAATCCTGAGTGAGGTAACCCAGACTCAGAAAGACAAACATGGTATGTACTCACTCATAAGTGGATACTAGATGTAAAGCAAAAGATAACCAGACTACTACTCACAACTCCAGTGCAGCTACCTAGTAAAGAGGACCCTAAGAAAGACATAGGGATCGCCCAAAGACAGAGAAATGGATGAGATCTACATGAGCAAACTGTGGGTGGGGGCCCGATTTGGAGCAAGTTTTAATTAAATACCGGTCAGGATGATGGACTCTGGCCAGGACCATTCCAGGGTTGCCAGAAAATGACAATGAGTCACATTTTTGCTGAGGCTGATAAAGGCAAACCCATAAGGCCATCTTATTTCCAACCAGGTCCAATCAGGGGCAAGCATACATCCTGACCTATTTCCTGCCTATGTACCTCCTTCCTTCATGTGATCAAGCACATCCCATGCAGTTGGGTCAAACAAACTGTTTAGGGAGTGAAAACACATGGCTTGTTATCTCCTATAGACAATAGCCTCCAGCATTTCAGGAAGTATCTGCTCTTGGGCAAGGGACTTACAGGTTAGAGGCATTTTTGTTTTATGGATCTCTTAGGCTCGGCAGTTAAAACTGAAAACATAACTTTGGCTCTCACATGTCCTTCTCAAACAGCCAAAACTGGCAGTATCACCCACATAGTGCTGGCTTTAGGGGCATGAGAATGAAGGGGTCATGGATTCTTCTGCTGAGGTGTCCAGAGAGCTGCTGAGGTCAGGAAGCATGTGGCATTGGAGTCCATGCATGGAGGCCCTGAGAGGGCAAGAGGCTGTGAGAGGACACTGTGTGAGATGTGAAAGTGAGGCCTGATTTGTAGTCAGAAACTGCAAGATGTTGGAAATGCTAGACCCAAGCAACATCTACCAAGAAGAGCTACACCCCGGAAATAGAGCTGCTCAAGACAGATGTGTGTAGCAGGGACAGAGCCATCTAAGCTCCTGAAGTCCAGGGTCAGACATGGAGCTACAGGACTTGGTGTTGAGCCTGCTGGGCTTTGACCGTTCTTAGGCCTGGTGTTTGCTGGCTCTGCCCCCCATTCTTCCCTTTTACAACTGTAACGCACGTCCCGTTCCACTGTTTTGGGAATATGTGATCTTCTTTTTGATTCTACAGAGGGTTACAATTAACAGATGGCCTTGAGTCTCAGAAGATAGATACTTTGGACTTTTAAATAGTTTTTAAAATGTTAAAGACTATGGGGACTTTTGAAGTTGGACCGAGTGCATTTTGTGGTATGATGTGCCCGTGAGCCTATGGGGGCCAGCAAGTGGAATGTGGTGGTTTGAATGAGAAATGACCTCATAAGCTCAGGTATTTGAACACTTGGTTCCCGTCAGGGACTCTGTTCAGGGAGGTGTAAGTGGTCCAGAGTCGCTGGAGGAAGCACATCACTTGGGGTGGGCGTCGAGATTATTTGGCCTCACCCTACTTTCGGTTCATTCTCTGTGCGCGTTGTTGAAATGTAGCCGCAGCGTCCTGCTCTGTTACCATGCCTACCGCTTGCTGCCGCCTCCCCACCATGGACTCTTATCCCACTGGAACCATTAGCCCAAATAAGCCCAAGTCACTTCCGGTCACGGTGTTTTATCCCAGCAGCAGAACAGTAACCAGTACAGGTACTTTTAGGGGATTTCATTGGTTGCTTTGAATAAGATGGATAGCTTAACAGTGCTAATTCTTCCAACCCCTAAACATAGGTTTACACACATCATCTTTAACATCTTTCATTAATTTTTATAGTCTTTAGTCTACAGATATCCTATTTAATTGCTTATGATGCTCTTGAATTGGAATTCTTTTCCTATTTCTTTTTCGTTTCTCATTTGTTGTTAGTGTATATAGAAATGTGCTGATATTTATGTTAGGTTTTATTATGTAAATTTACTGTCTTAATTCCTTTTCTATTTCGTGATGAGACATCATGACCAAGGCAGCTTATAAAAGAAAGCATCTAATTGGGGGCTGGCTTACAGTTTCAGAGGGTGAGTCCCTGACCATCATGGCTGGAAGCAGGCAGGCAGGCAGACGTGGAGGAGCAGTAATTGAGATCTTACATCTGATCCACAAGCAGCAGACAGAGAGAAAGGAACTGGATCTGCCATAGGGTTTTGAAACCTCAAAGCCCACCTGCCCCCGTGACATACCTCCTTCAGTAAGGCCATACCTAATCTTTCCTAAACAGTTCCACCAACTGGAAACCAAACATTCAAATATATGAGTCTCTGGGGGGATCTATTCTCATTTAAACCACATTTACTAAACTTATTACTTTGACAGTTTTATTTGTTTAAATTAGCACTTATTGTTATAGATTGATTTCATGATGATACTTTATTCATTCTTTTGTTGGTCCCTTCTTCTCTTGCTCTCTACCTCTCATTAGCTGCCTCCTGTCCTTTCCTGCCCCACGTGATCCTCTCCCCCCCACCCCCGCTTTTATACCACATGTATTCAATTACCTTCCTTCTCTTTCCTCTCTAAACCTTCCTCTAAGGTCGCCTTTTTACTGTTGTTGCCTATGCTCCCTCCAAATATAGTAACTACAATCTAGGGTCATCATACAGGAGGAAATATGGGGTTTTTGTCTATTGTGAAGCATTATTCCCGGGAGACATGAACGAATATCTGTTCACACCAGATAGGCAATTGATGACAGACCAGAGTATAGATATCACCAAAGTCCAAATTGGTGAACCACTGAGTTTATTTGGGTTATTTGCAAGAATTTGGGTGAAAGTTTACTTACAGTAGCATGGATGACTCAAAGGCATTTGCCTCACAAAAAGTTCACCCCAACACCATGATGACTCATAAAAGTTCAAGTCCCAAACCTGTCTACTTAACCTGCAGACAACTCTTCATATCAGAGTCTCCACTCCTCAGCAGTCCTTACCACTTAAATAAGGAAGAGGGGACTTCTGAATCTGGTAAGTTTCAGGAACTTCCTAGGACTTGTGAGTTGTCTGCTTCCTGGATGTTAAGGTGTCTTCCTTTAGCACTTCTTAAGACTTAAGAAGTTGTCCTGGGAGATAGAATGCTTCAGTTCAGAGAAGATTGTATTTCTGAGCTCGACATACTTTATTATAATAATTTTCAGCTCCATTTTCCTACAAATGTTGTGATTTCATTTTTGTTTGTGGCTGAATAAAATCCTGTTGTGTCTATGTACCTAATTTTCTTTAGCCTATTTTAGTTAATGGATATTTAAGATGGTTCCATTCCTCACAATTGTGAATAGTGTGGCAGTAAACATGTGTGTGCAGATATCTGTCTGATAGGATGTGGAATCCTTTGAGTGTATGCCCAGGAGTACCACAGCTAGGTCTTAGGGTAATTTTATTTTTAGTCTTTTGAGCAACCTTTACACCCGTTTCCTTCCTCGGTGGCTGCACAGTTTTACATTCCTACCAGTGGTTTATCTTTTCTGGCATCCTCTCCAGAATTTGTTATTTGCATTTCTTTGGTGGCTAAAAACGTTGAAGAGCTTTAAAGGTATTATTAGCTGTTTATGTTCTTTTCAGAAATCTCAATTCAGTTTATTAGCCCATTTGTTGACTGGAAGGTTTCCGGCTTGGGTATTTAATTTTTGCAGTTCTTTATGTATTCTAAATGTTAGCTCTGAAGTGCAGCTGGCCCAGACTTCCTCCATCCTGTGGTTGTGTGCTCACTCTGTTGATGGTTTCTTTGGCTGTGCAGGAACTTGCTAATTTCATGTAATTCCATTGTCAGTTCTTGGAGTTATCTCCTATGCTATTTGAGCTCTTATAAAAGGTCCTGGCCGGTGTCTGGCCGGTGTCTGTGTGCCCTGTGTTTTTCTCTGGCAGCTTTCCTGTCGCCTTAGCTGTAGCCCAGGCTTCCAGTGAGCTGCGCTGCCATTTTCAGTAGATTCTAGGAATTTTAAAAATTCCCTCTCTGCTTTATTCAGTGGCTCGCTGTTTACTCAAAAGTATGTTTTTCAGGGACTGTGGATGTTGGTAGAGTGCTTGCCTATTCCACACAAAGCCCTGGGTTTGACCCTCAGAATTAAATAAATCAATTAAATAAGGACGGTGCATCCTTCAGTCTCTGGTGTCGGCTTAGTTTGTGTGTTTCTTTTGCTGTTCAGTATAGTATGATGCTTTGTTAGGAAGTTTTTCAATTTTATTAAGGCTTGCTTTGTGGCCTGTAATTTGATTTTAGAGATTTTATCTGCCACTGCGAAGTACTTGTTTCCTGTCACTTGGCTGAGATACCCTGCGGCTATCACTTGAGCTGTGGCATACTTTAGCTCTGACATTTCTTGGCTGATTTTGGAAGGGTCTGGAGGACCCACCTAAGGATGAGAGTGGGGTACTGAAGTCCCCCACTGTTATGGTCAGGGTGTATCTGACCTTGCATGTCCTGTGTGTTTGTTGTGTAGAACTCAGAGTCCTAAAATTCAGAGCCTAGATACTTCCCGTTGTTTTCTACCTCCTCGATGAGTTCCTCCTTGGTGAACATGGGGAAGGCGTCTCCGTCTCCTCTGATGAGGTTTGGTTTCCGTGGGCAGATAAGGCTGGGGACCCTTCTGCTGTGTAGTGTCGCAGTCACGTGCGTTCCTCGTGTTCATCCACTGTTGTCACGGTCTGTGCCTACTCCCAGCAGCAGGTGAGTCTGGGAAATGTGGCTCTTGTTTGTATAACTATGTAGACGGAATGAAGAGGTTTGTTATATAAGAAAAATGGGAAATTAAATAAAGCCACCAGCGTCTGCCACACGGTCTCAACTCCCGCCTTTTCACTTTCCCTTGGGTGACTCTAACTTCTCAGTCATTAATGCATAAGTTCCCAAACCAGACAGAACCAAAGGGTTCCTGGGAAGAGTCTCTGTCTACACGGTCCCCCTCACCACAGGGCCTGACGCCTCATTAACCAGCTATCGGCTTCTTCGTGGAAATGAGTAAAGATAAATATGTATTCCTCCTCTTCCCCCTCTTAATCAAAGCACCTGCCTCACATACCTTGCTTCCTGGAGTAGGACGAGAAGATCAGCCGAGGGGAGGGGTCCGTGGACAGGCTGGGATGGAGCAGGGGCACGCAGGTGCCCCGAGCGCTGCCCACCCAGGCTCTCGCTTTGTGCTTTGGTTACACTGACATCCACTTTACAGTAATTGGTTAGAAACCACCTTTGTGACTTATATACCGGCATGTGATTTCTCACAATAAGAATGTTTTTAAAAGTGTATCCTGAGCCGGGCGGTGGTGGCGCACGCCTTTAATCCCAGCACTCGGGAGGCAGAGGCAGGCGGATCTCTGTGAGTTCGAGGCCAGCCTGGGCTACCAAGTGAGTTCCAGGAAAGGCGCAAAGCTACACAGAGAAACCCTGTCTCGAAAAACCAAAAAAAAAAAAGTGTATCCTGAGAATTGACTTAAATGAATCGGATTTAAGATGCCCTTTCACAATCTTATTTATCCCGTTTCAGTTTTGATAAAGCTGTTTAATGGGGGAGAAATGACCTAGAAAGTTCTTTTCTTAACCTAAATAATCATATCTCTGTCTCGTTATAAGGTTCATTACCATGGTACCCAGATAAATTAATAGATTCCATCTGAGAAAAAAAAATAGAGTTAAAAGCAAGTGTTCACTTTTTCCTTTGTGTGACCTGTACTGTGGTTTAAAGTTCTCTTCAGTGTGCCACATGACACTTCTGGGAACTAAGCCTGAAGTATTTCCCTCTGTCCTGTTTCTTGACTCTCATTTTTCATCAGGACAGCAGCTTAACAAAACCATGCTCCTTGCTAACATGTGTCTTCGTTAGTAACAGAAATGCTTTCCAGGTCTCTCCTGGATCTGACAGGTTTATAGGGCAAAGGGAATGTGACCTGTTGCTAGAGTTTTCCGCCTTGCCCACAGGGACAAATCTTTGTCACCCGCCAGTCCCACAGCCGCTCAGACCCAACCAAGTAAACACAAAGACTTATATTGCTTACAAACTGTATGGCCGTAGCAGGCTTCTTGCTAACTGTGCTTATAGCTTAAATTAGTCCATTTCCATAAATCTATACCTT